CGCCCGATGTTTTGGTAAATTTTAAAAACGTTGCGTATATAGCGGTATTTTAAATGTTGAGGCATAAAACCGCTCTTCTTTAAAGACTCTGACAATAAATGCTCTGATAAAATCAAAGCTGTTGCTTCAGGACATGGTAGCACCAAATGGAAGCCGCCACACAGCTTTGTAACTTACTGATCGATGTATGTGTGTTTTTTCTTCTTCTTTTGTCGTCTCACTGATACCAGGTTGTAGCCCAGTATTGGGATTTTCTATGTTTGTCTTGTGCTTTTCTGGTAGCTCGAGTGATGGATTTATTCATCTTTTTGCAGGTTTCAGCTACACCACTTATCCATCTCTTTCTTGGTCTTCCTCTCGCCTTTCGCGAAGATGTTTTACTGTAAAAAGTCTCAAATGAAGATCCTTCTCTGGCTGCATTCTCACTAGGTAGCTGAACCATTCCATCCTTTGTCTATCTGTATAATCCAGACACGGTCTTTTTTCAACTTTCTCTCCAATGCTTGTATTCGTAACCCTGTCTCATCTAGTGTTGTTTGTGTATTTTAAGTCGCCTCGTTGGTTCTTGTGGTGTCAGTGGCTGAGACGTTGCGAGTCCGATTCGTAATTCCAACGTACCGCGATCGAATCCCACTGCTGGCTGTGTGGATTTTTTTATCATGGTATGGGCGTCGCAGGTCAGCTCAGCCTAAAATGGGTACCAGAATGTATGTTCTGGAAAAGTGAAGACGGCCGGCGTAATGCTGACCACAGTACTCACCTAGTGCCGATTGGTCTGTGAAAATATGGAAGCTCTTCCCATACGCCCGATGCGCCTGAAGGCATGAAAAGGGATCTTTGCTTCACTTTTACTATTAGTTTTGAAAATAAAAATTTAAATTTTTTTTTGTACTTTAGGTGTGTTTTGGTATCTTTTCAAAAACATTTGGTACTAACCCCCCCCCCCCCCTTTTCCACCAAAAAAATTCGACAGCCCTGAGTACACCACTCACGATGCTAACCTGGTCTCATTGTGTGGAAGCGTAACCCTATAAACAAACCCAATGTACAAAAAGGTTCACGGACTCAGGGGTTCAACAAATGTTCCGCACTGCCTCAGGGGTTCCCCACAGCATCAAGGGCTGCCCATACGCAAAAGTATCCCTCGTCCTCAAGGGTTCCCCCACAGCCTCAGCGATTCCCCCAGCCTCAACGGTTCTCCACAACATCAACGGTTCTTCACAGCCTCAAGGATTCCCCACAGCCTCAAGAGTTGCCCACAGCCTCAACGGTTCTCCACAACATCAACCGTTCTCCACAGCCTCAAGGGTTCCCCCACAGCCTCAAGGGTTCCCCCACAGCCTCAGCGATTCCCCCAGCCTCAACGGTTCTCCACAACATCAACCGTTCTCCACAGCCTCAAGGGTTCCCTGCAACCTCAGCGGTTCCTCGTAGCCCTAACGGTTCCCCACAGCTTCAAGAGTTCCCCACAGTCTCAGAAATTCTCAACAATTTAAAGTTCCCCACAGCCTCAATTGTTCTCGACAGCCTCAAGGGTTCCCCACAGCCTCAAGGGTTCCCGTCTGTTTATTTCTGTGTAATGAAACGTACTGCCCAAGCCCAGGTAACAGCATTATCATACGTGATACACATGCTGTTGATCGTCTGTATGCGCCCGCGCTCGAGAGTGAGTGAGTGAGACACGTCACCCCACCAAAACCCAACGACAAGTTGTACCCACCTGGTGACACAGTGTGCCTCACAAGATTGTTTAAAAAAAAATACTATAACTAGGAGATGCACATTGCATCCGTGAAAATTCTTTGTGACATGTACTCTGCTACTGGTGACCTAATATTTGCCGTGATCATTTACGTGGAAAATGTATGCGGACTAAACAAATCAATTACTTTTTGTGTTTCAGTTTAAAAGTATATTTATATGTGCTGTGAACATGTGTTTTCACTCGATGAGCTTAAAAAACAAAACCATAGCAAAGAGACATAATTATAAAAGTCATTCCGTCCTCATTTTAACTTCTTCTCCTTCGTGTTCACCAGCTGTAAACTCTGGCAGAATGTTCTGGTTATTCGTCCACTTCTGGACTGCAGTACTGTTTTAGAACCTGAGTATTGCGTGTGCATCCGTTTTACATATCTGGCTTATTTGTTTGCAGACTGCTAGTTCCTTGCCTCTCAGGCAGATGCCCTCCGACTTCGAAGGAAGCTGCCAATTAGTCGGCTCTTACGATATACTTCTGGGTAGGCAGTGGGTCTATACTTGTCTTCCCTATAATAGGGCCCCGGAACGCATACGGGAATCATTTTAACTGTGTTGCTTCTGAAGAAACTTAGTAAATTGGTAATCGTTAGTGTTGGTGACATGATAACATTGACTGTGGAACATTTTGATTAGATTAGAGGTTTTATAATTAACCTCACTCATTTGTATTCTTGGAGGGTGGGGGTCGGGAGGGCCTCTGAGCTCCCAGGTCCCGGCACACCTGTAGAAAATGCAGTCAGCAAGATGTGATAAGTACCAGGAAGTGCTTCATTTGAAGATAAGCACCATCTGAATGATTTAATCTCTGGCACACAGAGAAAGAGCTTATCATTGCTGATAGGGAATCCACAGTAGTGCGTGATTGAGCCGTGGGCATTCCTGGCTCGTCTGGAATGTCCTGTTTTAGATTGGTGTTGTTAGTGATGGGAGTTTTAACGGCTAGTGACTGTTAGCCAGCTCTGCTGTGAAAAATATATACGTCGGCTTGTCTCACTTTGTAGCTTTTGCTTCTCTTTCTCTCTCCGCCTGTCTATATGTGTCTGTCTTCCTCTCTTATCTCTATCTGTGTCTGTCTTCCTCTCTTATCTCTACCTGTGTCTGTCTTCCTCTCTTATCTCGATCTGTGTCTGTCTTCCTCTCTTATCTCGATCTGTGTCTGTCTTCCTCTCTTATCTCTATCTGTGTCTGTCTTCCTCTCTTATCTCTATCTGTGTCTGTCTTCCTCTCTTATCTCGATCTGTGTCTGTCTTCCTCTCTTATCTTTTTTTTCTTTTCCCAGCGGTGTCTCTGTTTCTATTTGTTCGACCATCTCTTCTCTCTCTCTCTCTCACTCTCTCTCTCCCTCTCTCTCTATCTCTCTCTCTATCACACACACACATGCACACACAGACTGTTGGTTCCTCGCCTTTTATACAAATGCGCACCGATTTTAAAGCAACACCTGTAATTAGAAAGATCAGATTTGTGAATATTTATTGTAAAAGTCAATAATTCCATTGCGACGACTACTTCTGTGTGTGACATGCTTGCACGTACACGCTAACTAATGGAGATCATTATGAAAAATGGCAACTAGCGTCAGTCTCTGTTGTGCTTCCCGCTCCTGCAAAATTTGTGATATCTGTTCGTGCATATTTTAGTGGCTGTATTGATCATAGTCCCAGCCACACTGAAGGCTGGACAGAGCCTGGCTATGGGGATGACAGATGCCAGGCATAGTTGTTAAAAAAAAAAAAAAAGTAAAGATCCCTTTTCACGCCTTTCGGCGCATCGGGCATATGGGCAGAGCGTCCCATATTTTTACAGACCATCAGCACTCTGTGGGTAATGTGGTCAGCATTACGCCGGCTGTCTTTACTTTCCAGGACAGCCCATCCTGGTACCCATTTTAGGCTGGGTCGACCTGCGACGTCCCATTCCACGACAAAAATCCACGCAGCCTGCAGTGGGTTTAGATCGCGGTATGCTGGCTCACGAGTTGGACTCGCAACGCCTTAGCCACGGACGCCGCCCAGGCATAGTTGTACTAAATATAATTAAACCAGTTAAAAGGCTATGGAGATTGGACAGTTTTTGGTCGTCCATTTGTTGACTTTAGATAATTTTATTTCTTTTATCATACAATCAGTTATTACAAAGTTTGAATGAACTATTGGTGTCTGTATAATATTAGAAGTTTAAGCGTTAAATGTCACCACCCTTACAGCAGTCGCCACGCAAGGTACAGGCTAAAATTTGTATTCAGCTAAAAAAAAAATTATTTAAGGTCGTCCCCATGTGGGATGCAATTTTTCGTTATTTAAAGCCGCTCTCTGGCTTTTGCCGGGGGCCCTAACTATAGGTGGGCCATAAATATGGCCTAACGGCTGAAAGGGTGTTTCTGTGACCTGTCCACGGGCGATGGTAGCACTTTGTGTCATCGGGTGTTTATTGCTTTGTGTGATGACCTGGTGGGGTACAGAAGAAGTTTGGCATCATGACATGGAAGATCAACAGAATTTATTGAAAGTACACGAGACAGCGGGTTGTGGATAGTCGTGCCTGCCAGTGCAACATGGCATTGACATGGCATTGACCATATGAAGGTCATCACTATCGAGAGACATGCTGGACTGCGCGCATATCGTGTTCCCCCAGTCATAAGCTTTCTGTATTCACCATTATTATCATGAACCAGCTGATAAATGTAAGAGGTCACAGTTCACAATCCCAGCTAATTACTGGAACCATGAATTGGGTCATTGCTTTTGTACCCCCTCGTCAATATGGCCAAACCATCCTGGTATTTATGCTGATTCCTTCTCCATGCTCATTTTCTGCGAATTGTGCAGTTTGAACCAAGTTTTTTAAGGTATTCCCTTCTCATAATGTTCCCTCCTCGTGTGGGTTCTGGAGTACTTTTGTATAGAGGAAAGGGGGGGGGGGTGTCGAAGAATAGACCCAGTGCCTCCTATCAAGCTTGTTGTAAAAGTGGACACATTGGGGGTTGGGGTGGGTTTTAACTCGAAGTCTTAGTGCATCTGCTTGAGAGGCAAGGAACCAACAATCTGCATTCATAAGGGAAGGGTTTGTAAAATGTACGTGTACACAGAATTTATGTTCTGAGGAAGAAAGTCCAGAATTGGGTGAACAACTAGAACTTTCCACCAGACCTAATAGCAGGTGAAAATGAAGAAGAATGAGATCGTGTGCACAAAACTTTTGATAACAGTGCTAACTGGTCCATGATGCGTCCACAGTGTTTGAGAAGAAAGACAAAATCGTGCTTGTATTGGATTATGCCCAAGGAGGAGAACTGTACGACTATCTCAACAAGATGGGAAGACTCTCAGAAAATGAGGCCAGGAGGATTTTCCGCCAGATCGTGTCTGCCATCCACTATTGTCATCAGGTCAGTTGATTCCTTCTCATTTGATTTGTGTGTGTGTAGTTCATTAACTCTTTCAGTGCCAGGCAAGTCATATTCTAAGACAGACAGTTCCGTGTTATGTAAACAAAAGGACCACGTTGTTAAACATAGACTACCGCTATTGTCATGTAGTTAACCTTTATACATTCATGGTCATTACATGGGTAGTTTTATAATTCCATTGGTGAAATGTACAGAAAAAGAATAAACAGTGTGATGTGTGTATTTCTTCTGAAGCATCCTTGTATTTTGATGTGGACAGTAAATCACCTGATGAGATACAGTGAAATATAACAAGCAGTAAATTGCGCAATTTATTGTTTGTAACGGCATTATCCTGTTTTCCATGCTTGTTTGATTGATTATAGCAAGGCCTTCGACTGTGCCCAGCACCATAAATTGTAGAATCATGAGAAGTACAGAGTTTCCAGCACGTTTGGTATATTTAATTATAAGTTTATATCATAAACAATAAGCCACCATCACATTTGGAGGAATACATTGCAAAAAAGTGCAAAAAGGAAACGAGGCAGGCGTGCATTCTCTGACCATACTTATTTAATATATATGCAGAAAGCATCATGAGAAATGTCAAAAATGAGGAGCATTCTGACATTTATGATCTTTTCTTAATCGGTGGCAACCCTGTTCCAGAACTTCACAATGCAGATGACATATTCCTCCATTTGAACAGAGTGAATAGAATAAAAACTTTATTATCTGTCCAAAAACTTAGTGAAGATCAAAATCTGTTTATTCCTAATTTTAAAGAATACAAAAATAATGTCCACAGATAAAACTGTCTGTTACCCAAAAATAATAATTGATGAAGCAATTTGAAATGTCACCAGCTTTGGTAATGTCTAGGTTCCATAATAAACAGCAATCAAGACTGCTCAACAGAAGTCAAAAGGAGGCCATAGCAATGCAAAGATTAAACAGTATTAAACAGTCTATAGTTGAGCACTGTCAAAGAGTTCAAAGTGAAAATTTTGAGATTAATGAAAGCATCTTCCCTATAGATACGTACAGATTTGAGTCATGGACTCGCAGTCTTCAACTCTTTGAATCCCAGAGATTCAACATCAGAGGCCCAAGAGATAATTAAGACAGAGGTTAAATCAGTAAGTGACACCTTCAGTAGGAAATCGGGGGGGGGGGGGGGGTTAGGGGGGGGGGGGGGGGGGGGGCGGCGGGGTAAGAGCTTGGCAAGAGACCAAATTTCTTCCAGGCAGACAGTGATGAAACCAACATTCTGCAAAGGCATGATGATGATGACCGCTTTATTGAAATGCGTTTTGTTTTTTTAACAACAGTTATTGCCTAGTACAGTGGTTCCCAAACTGTGCGCCACAGCGCCCCGGGCAGCCGCTACCTCTTCACAGGGGCGCCGCAAAATATTTGAAGATATATGAGTTTTATTTTTGTAAATTTTCTCTTTCATACATACGAATAGTCATACTTTTACTCAGGTTAGAGCACCATCAAATTTTTTTTACCGAAAAAAGGCGCAGCGACTAAGAACAGTTTGGGAAACACTGGCCTAGTATATGCATAGAATGGCATTATGTAACCACCTTTTTTACAGCCTAACATCATAATTAAAGCAACTTTATATTTCTTTATCTTTCACAGAATGGTATTGTCCATCGAGACCTGAAATTGGAGAACATCATTTTAGATGATGAGGGAAATGTGAAGGTAAATATGGTTAAAAAATATACATCAATCTTTGTTTAAAATAATTCATTTAGATGTTTGTATTATGTTTGTTTATGTTTGGTGCTGAGCCCTGCAGTTATTGGATTGCATACAAAGGCATAGCCAGGTAGCAGGTGGTACCTGCTGCGGAAATTTCTTGCCCCCCTCTCCCAATATGTATATTTTTATTTTAAAACGCATTTTTGTACTGTTTTTTTCCCACCCACCGTGATGACACCCAGGGTGGTCCACACCTAGTTTTATGCTTCACTGGTTGACCTTTCTGCTCCACTAGTTGACCTTTCTGCTCCACTGGTTGACCTTTCTGCTCCACTGGTTGACATTTCTGCTCAACTGGTTGACCTTTCTGCTCCACTGGTTGACATTTCTGCTCCACTGGTTGACATTTCTGCTCCACTGGTTGACCTTTCTGCTCCACTGGTTGACATTTCTGCTCCACTTGTTGACCTTTCTGCTCCACTGGTTGACATTTATGCTCCACTGGTTGACCTTTCTGCTCCATTGGTTGGCCTTTATTCTCCACTGGTTGGCCTTTATTCTCCACTGGTTGACCTTTCTGCTCCACTGGTTGACCTTTCTGCTCCACTGGTTATTTCTGCTCCACTGGTTGACCTTTCTGCTCCACTGGTTGACCTTTCTGCTCCACTGGTTGGCCTTTATTCTCCACTGGTTGACCTTTCTGCTCCATTGGTTGGCCTTTATTCTCCACTGGTTGACCTTTCTGCTCCACTGGTTGACCTTTCTGCTCCACTGGTTGACCTTTCTGCTCCACTGGTTGACCTTTCTGCTCCACTGGTTGCGTGCATTATATGTTAGAAGCTAAGACAAATCAAGACAGTTATATTGTGTTATTTTGAAATTTTACAACAGAATCCATGTCATTGCACTTTTTGTCAGGTTTTTGTCTCCTTGGCATATTCCCAAAGATGTGAGCATGCTAACTGTCAGGGGCAAAATATAATCCTCACTTGCACAGTTGTGGCAACAGCACTAGCCATGCGACTGTAAATCCTCAGGTTGAAATCCACCTGACTACACCGCAGAAGTAGTTTAATAAAGGCAGTAATTGGCAGTTTTTAAAAAAAATGACCTATGTTTTTTCTCACACAAGAACAAGTTATGGCATTACACATCATAATCATCATCGAGTGCCTTTTCAGCTGGCGGGGGTGGTCAGGCCTCTCCACAACCTGCTGTCACTAATAGTAGGCAATTCATGTGTTGACACTCTCACCATGGCCCATGAAAAGTTTTCAAGAATATTGTTGCCTTATCTTCCTCCATCTCTCCTTACACAAATCATTCTAGTCACTATAATTTTGTAGATTTCAGTTGATAGAAGCCACCCTGGTTCACAGTTGATTGTGGTTGTGCTGTAGTTTGAGTTTATTTGTCATTTGAACTGTACCATATTCCTCAGTAGCTTGCTATGAGTCCCCGTATGTTGATAGTACCAGCTGCGACCTGATTAAAAGTCTGCCTATGTTTCCCCCTCAGTGTTGAACATCTTCCAGAACCTCTGCTCACTCACCACTGAATTCAGTCTTTCAAGTTATGGATACTCTGTGGGCTCTGTTGCATTGTTCACATGGTCCAACAGCGCCTTCCCCATGTCCACTTTATCATAAAGTAGCTCACCACCGAGAGGGGCAGCAGTAGCCAGTCTATCAGCTTGCTCATTACCCTGTACACCCGAATATCTTGGACAGAAAAATCCATGATATGCTCCTTATCCTGGTCCCATCAAGCGATTCAAGCCTCTCTATGCATATGACCCACTGCCTACCCAAAAGCATGTCGTAAGAGTCGACTAATTTGGAGCTTCCTTTGAAGTCGAAGTGCATCTGCCTAAGAGGCAAGGAACCAGCAGTCAGCACACAAATTAGTCAGATCTGTCAAATAGATGCACATGCAACACTCAGGTTCTGAAACTGGACTGCAGTCTAGAAGTGGACGAACAACCAGAACTTTTGTATGTCAGGGTTATATAGTCAGTTCCTGTTTTCCAAAGTCCTTTCCTCTGTCCCAATTCGTATACACTCTGGCACTGATCAGTATAGGATATTGCTGGGTACATCATTTGGTGAAACCATTTCAAGTGCCCTGATATAACTTCTTGGGAGGTTGAATGGGGTACGTGGGATTTGCCCTGTTGGTATTCCATTCAGGATTCCCATAGGTGGTCATACCCCCCAGCTGGCAGCTTGGAGAGGAACTTTTGACAGATCACTATATTGATCAGCGAGAGCCATTGGCCAGAGTTCAAACTTAGCATTTCACTATAGTTTGTGCATACATAACATTGTGATCCATGTCTTTAAGGGTTCTGTTGACGTACTTATAACCATGTGATCAGAGCACCGGGCACCCCCCCCCCATAATAAATTTTTTGTGGGAAGGCGGTGAGGTGGAAGGATTCATATGTATGGAATCACAAAACAAACCCCCCCCCCCCCCCCCACAAATTACCCAATCCATGTGTAGGAGTTATCTCAATAAGATTTTGTACATTTAATATTTCATATGTACTGTTATGTGTGTCAAGTAATTCAGCACCTTACTATTGTTATTATTACTTTCATTATGCACTTTAACAAGGCTTGGAGCCCTTGAACAACTCTTGCCCCAATCATAAGAACCGTTGTAAGAGGATTAATCCTCCTTACATCACCTGAGCCCAGCACCTCATTGCTTTCTTTGTGTCCTGCTCCCTTGTCTGTGATCCATTGGTGTTGCTTGTTATATTCACTGACTGTGTCTGTCCCATGTCAGATTGCAGATTTTGGTCTGTCCAACTACTACAGTAACAGCAGCACACTGAGTACTTTCTGTGGGAGTCCACTCTACGCTTCGCCTGAAATAGTCAACGGGAAACCCTATCATGGACCTGAGGTTAGTTTGTGAATGAACGTCTTAAAAAGGGAATGTCTGCATCCATTCAGTAGTGTATGAAGGGGTGTGAGGGCCATCAGTAGGACGGTGACAGTATTTTAGAAAAGAAAATGGGGTGGTTGGGGGGGGGGGGGGGGGGGGGGGGGGGGGGGGGGGGGGGGGGGGGGCGCTGCCACTGCTGTATCTTGTTATATAGTCAGTGTGGTGTGTGTCAGGGTTATATAGTCGGGGTTATATAGTCAGTGTGGTGTGTGTCAGGGTTATATAGTCTGTGTGGGGGTTATATAGTCAGTGTGGTGTGCGTCAGGGATATATAGTCAGTGTGATATGTGTCAGGGTTATATAGTCAGTGTGGTGTTTCTGGGTTATATAGTCAGTGTGGTGAGTGCCAGGGTTATATAGTCAGTGTGGTGTGTGTCAGGGTTATATAGTCAGTGTGGTGTGTGTCAGGGTTATATAGTCAGTGTGTTTTGTATCAGGGTTACATAGTCAGTGGGGTGAGTGTCAGGGTTATATAGTCAGTGTGGTGTGTGTCAGGGTTATATAGGCAGTGTGGTGTGTGTCAGGGTTATATAGTCAGTGTGTTTTGTATCAGGGTTATATAGGCAGTGTGGTGTGTGTCGGGGATATATCATCATTGTGGTGTGTGTCAGGGTTATATAGTCAGTGTGGTGTGTGTCAGGGTTATATAGGCAGTGTGGTGTGTGTCAGGGTTATATAGTCAGTGTGGTGTGTGTCAGGGTTATATAGTCAGTGTGGTGTGTGTCAGGGTTATATAGTCAGTGTGGTGTGTGTCAGGGTTATGTCGTCAGTGTGGTGTGTATTGGGGTTATTTAGTCATTGTGGTGTGTGTCAGGGTTATATAGTCAGTGTGGTTTGAATCGGGGTTATATAGGCAGTGTGGTGTGTGTCAGGGTTATATAGGCAGTGTGGTTTGTATCGGGGTTATATAGGCAGTGTGGTGTGTGTCGGGGTTATATAGTCATTGTGGTTCTCCCCATTCTCTCAGGGCTACTGTCTTTAAAAATACTGCGATGTGGATGGCATGCCAACAGGGCAAGAATATGGTTTATATGCTGTGAAAGCAGTATTGTATTTGAAACCAGACCCCGGAGTCCGCCAGTCATGAAATTAATCCATGGCTATCCTCTGACATAAAACCATTGCGCTATACACACAGGGCAATTCAAAGCAGGAACTCTGACATGAAACCATTGCGCTATATACACAGGGCAATTCAAAGCAGGAAAACGGATCCTTTTCGGGTTTTAATTTTGTTCTTACTTTACCAGAAAGCCAGGTCCCGTAGGCGCCGAAACATGGGAGGATGTATATTGAGGCCACTCCCCCCCCCCCCCCCCCCCCCTCCCTCATCCATTTTGGTATAAAGACAAATGCGTGTGTAAAAATACTGTTAGACCTCCTTTAACCATTTATATACATTTTCTTTGAAAGTATCTGTTCGCACATTTTGTATTATTTCAGGCACTGTATTTTATTTAATGTGTGTATTACTAGCCTGAATTACTGAGCCTAGTTCAAATGCGACTACTCTCGAAAGTTTGGAAACACTGACTGGTCCTGTGAAGGTTTTATTTAGTGCTGGTATAAAAATTAAGATATCTCACAGCCCATTCCAGGGATCTCATTGCCTTTTCCAGAGATCTCACGGCCTGTTCCAGGGATCTCAAGGCATGTTCCAGAGATCTCACGGCCTATTTCAGGGATCTCATGGCCTGTTCCAGGGATCTCAAGGCCTGTTGCAGAGATCTTACGGCCTGTTCCAGAGATCTCACGGCCTGTTCCAGGGATCTCATGGCCTGTTCCAGGGATCTCATGGCCTGTTCCAGGGATCTCAAGGCCTGTTCCAGAGATCTCACGGCCTGTTCCAGGGATCTCATGGCCTGTTTCAGGGATCTCATGGCGTGTTACAGAGATCTGTTCCTGTCAGTCCAGGAAAAGAAGTAGTGTTACATGCCTTATTCATTCAAGATTATATATATATATATATATATATATATAATATATATATATATATATATATTTATATATATATATATATATATATATATATATATATATATATATATATATATATATATATATATATATATATATATATATATATATATATATATATATATATATATATATATATATATATATATATATATATATATATATATATATATATATATATATATATATATATATATATATATATATATATATAAAGAGAGAGAGAGAGAGAGAGATCCTCTGCTATGCTTTAGCTGTTCTAATTTCTTTAAATACACAATCAGAGAGCTGATACGTGGAACAGCCTTTTCCTTCTCTTATCAGGCAAAATGTTATTGTCCCTTTAGCATTTTAGAGGTTAAATTTCTCCTGTTTCTTAGGTTAGATTTGATAAATTCACTCCAAATGAAAAACATCTACCATCTAAACGTCAAAAATGCCATCTAAATGCAAGGGAAAACATCTAAATTTGGATGTAAAACATCCAAAGTGGCAACACTGCTTACTACAGTTAGTTGGCCCACGGCCGGCTCTAGCTGCAGAGAGAGAGAGAGAGAGAGAGAGAGAGAGAGAGAGAGAGAGAGATATCGCAAAAACTGTTTACCTTAGTAACTAGTCCTTGCCGAAATTCTTTATTAGATTGTTTCCTTTCCCCCTGAGAAGATTGAGTCAAATTGTTACATCTGTTACTCCTTCGTCAGGGGATACCACTCTTTCCCCTTCCGTCAAGGGAAGAGACTCCGGCCCATTACTGAATCTTGACGAGATTACTTCTGACGTTCATTTGCAAGTGCCAAGGCTTACTACATTTAGTTGGCCCACGGCGTCTCTAGCTGCAGGGGGTCGTGGTTGGCCCTGTTGCTGCAACTGACCCACATTTACCGACGTGCACCCAAGTGGAGCGGCCTCAGACCTCACTCACCATTCTGCCTCCGGTTATATTGTGATGATGTCACAAACATGAAACACAAAAGTACATTGCAGGAGAGGGCAGACGAGGAGGGTTTTTTTTAAGACGGTTGGGCAGACGTGATATGGACTTTTAGTTCAGTTTGTTTATAATGAGTCGGTTGTGTGGTTAAGTCGATGCGAAAGCTTCGTAATGCTGGGGTGCCGTGTTCGATCCTAGCTGCGGCCATGCGCCTTGCGTTGGTTTGAACAGTGTTATCAAGGGGCTGACCGTCTAGAAATCAATTGCAAACAACTGGACGTAAATTTGCCTAGAAAAACCACACAACAGCCAGGGGCTGCTGTGGTTGGTTCTGCAACATCCTGTAAAGAATACGCAACTTACCTTGTTTATAATGTGCGTTGGAGAGAGGAAGCCCTGAAATTATCCTGCCCGGTACTGCAACTCATTTTTTACCGCCGTTTTCAAATATGTGTTGCTGCACGCGGAGACTTTCTCTTCGTCTTAGTTTTGACGGGAGCCGCCGTGGTGTAGTTTATAGATGCTCGCCGTTAGATCGGAAGGTCGTGAATTCAGGTCCTGACGGAGCTAAACTTGTTTTTTTTTTTTTTTCTTTTTAGAAATGAACTTGGCTTCCAGGTCGACCGAACCTTTAATGAGCACCGGGTAAAGTCATGAGAGGTAAAAGCGGCCGGCTTGATGTTGACCACATCACCTCGTGCGTGCCGAATGGTCTGTAGAATGTAGGTCTAGCCATTTGTGCCCACCTTAACCTTTTACTTAGTGCTGACTACCACGACTTCCCCCTTTCCCAACCCAGACAAGATCAACACGTTATTCGTGAAGCCATTCTTTGGTCATGTGGTGGGAAAAGGAGCACTGGAAAATATCGTGAGGACTGGAAAGATCACTGGTAGAAGAGGCAAGGGCAGACAAAGAGACATGGTGGTGGAAGGCCTAAGACGGCGGCATGGAGGAATATCATCAGTGGAATTGATTCATAACACTAAAGAAAGAGATCTATGAAGATGCATAACCGCATACGCCAGCCGGCAAGGCGCGTGATGGTGATGATAATGATGGTGATATTAAGTCCCCTAATGCAAATGCTTTATACCGTCGAGTGGTGTTTCTGAGATATGTCAGTGTTAGATTGAAATCCGAAAAGTGGCTCCCTGTGTCACTGAGTTTCAAATCTTTAGGCTGCAATCGCTGACGGGTCGTTGTGACGGAGTGGCCGAATCGATTGCCCTTCCCTCTGTATCTTGTGGATTCTTCCGTCGTTAGCTCTGCAACGCAGATGTTTAAGAGATCCCTAAGTTCGTAGTTGGAGGTGCAGAGTCTGTGTTTTGTGAAATATACGTAGCTTGCCACTAGCCGCTCTGCAGACACGGAAAGAAAGTCACAAGGTATAGACATCTGAAATGAAGGCAGAATAAGAAATCATAATGCACAGACAACATACAGGGCTGTCAATAGGATTTTGATATTGTTGAAAACCCCAGATAAGCTGAACAAAAACCCAAGCAATACCTAAGAAAAGAACCCCAAAAAAAATTAAAAACCCAGATTGTTAAAAGGTACAAATTTTAAAAATACGAAACGAAACATTTGCCCACTTTTATATAAGGATTTAAAAAAAACCTAGATTTCGAAATTTGAACCCATGGCGTCAAATAAAAACCCAGATCTGGGGGTAAAACCTATCATTGGCAGCACATGGTCTCTACAATACTGCCCAGGCCTTGTGCTATAGAATGGTGTAACTTGATCCCCATGTCTTGTAGTAGCCCAGTGGTTCTCAGCCTTCCTGATGCCGCGTTGTCCTGCAACCAAAACATTCTTTTCCTGGTTACCTCATAGCTTCAGGGGAGTCGCCCAGCTAGACGCTCGCGTGTGGATCGGGAGGTCGTGGGTTCGCTCCCTGGCGGAGCCGGAGTTTTTTCAAAAATGACCTTGACTCCCTGGTCGACCCAGCCTTGAGTGGATACCGGGTGCAGTCCCGGGAAGTGAAGTCCGCCGGCGTAATGTTGACCACGTCACCGATCTTGTGCCGATTGGTCTGTTAAAA